AAAGGTTGGGAAACACTGGTCTAGAGTGTAATGGCTACAGCCTCTTAATTATATTGTGCAGGATTGGTTTTTGCCGGTGGTTTTATCTTCTGATAGTCAGTGTTCAGGTAGGGGGCAGCATTTGTGATGACGCGTACTCGTAAGAATTTTGCCGCTATGTCCCGATGTTGCGCTGACAGGTAATTGGTTTTAGGCCTGCAAGATTGACTATTGCATTTGTCTGCGCAGTCCTGTAAGCTCTGGTGATTAAGATGCTCATGCGATTAAGAGGCTTTGTAGGCTGAGAATGTTTCTGAATTTATGTGCATTTAACGTGGTACATCGAGCTGATGCACCATGGCAGACTGTTGGTAAGGTCACTGTGTGATACCGCATTTTTAGAAGTGCGGAGGAGATGCCCCTGATTTTACCTGTCATTCGGAGCAGACTGTTTTAACTTTCAGTTCTTCTACATGCAGAATCCAATTGAATTTATCATCCAACATAATGCCAAGATATGTTTAAGCTTTTGCGTATCGAACGACATTGTAGTTAGGATTCGTAAGTCATCAAATTCCAGACTTTGAAGTCATTCATTACGAGTGACCGGCCGCTTACCATGAGCATAGTACGTAGTCCCCATACACTATATAAGGCAAATAGTATGCTAAAACCATGGTCCTATGTGTACATAAATTTTAAAATTCATGCATTTATTTATTGATTTAGTATTTTGATAGTTGCATGTTACTTACTGAAATTGTTATTTTAGTACTGCATGTAGTACGTTTTCCTGAGTTGTAAGTATGGCTTCCTGCCCAGGGATTGTATTGCCCGGGACGTGCAGTCTTTGGAAAGGAGTCTTCACAAATTTTGCATATATAAAATAATTTTAGTGAAATTATGTGTAAATTATAGTATTTATTGTATTGTAAAAGCCCTCAGAAATGAAGCAGACTTAAAAAATAGGCTTGCAGGGGTAATTCAATTTAACATGGAGGTAAATGGTCAATGTGGCGATGGTTTTAACGGCTAATATTTGGCGAGAAATCTTCAAGAGACGTTAAGTCTGGCGACATTTTTATTCAATTCCTTTGTAACTATAACTGGTCGGATCCTATGAAACTATAATTGTACCCTATGTAACTGTAAATGTTTATGCTTTCCAGCAAATTTGAGAAATCGAAAGTACTGGAAAGTTTTTGGCTATATAAGGGAAATGATATACTGCCGAAAAGAGCATCAGTTTAGTTTAGTTTAGTTCAGAGTAAGGAAAATTTAGGTTGTTGTGAGATCACTTTGCGAGCTTTCGCTTTGCATTGCGTTGTGTTTAACGTTCTTAGTAGTTTGAAGTGATAACTACTAATTGTGCTCTGTCATACCGAAAAGTGCTATACGAGTATTTTTGTCTGAGAAGTTCCAGAATTGTGAAATATTTTTGTAAAAATTTATTTCATCAATCTTTCATCAGTTCTGTGGGCATTCAATCCATTGCGAACCCATACGGACATAACAATATTTTTCAGTCTTCTAAGTGTCCATGCGGCATGAGCTTTATAAAAATAATTTATAAGCACTATATGTATTATAACGTCATTGAAAGTCTTTTAATATTTACAGAAGTTTACAGCAATTACGATTTTATTAACAGCATAAGTTTGGTTACCACTTATATATTACTTCGACTTCTATCGACTTTTGGCTCGAAAGTGATAAGGACATAAGACTGAGACAACGCAAAAATGAGGATCGAAACTAATAACTCTTCTGATGTTAAAAATTAAAACAAAGGTCTAAATTATTCAGAAATAGGAGATCAAGGATTATACATTAAAATCGAAAGTATGCACGAAAATACTCCAAGCGCTTTACATCAAATTTGTGGCAATCAAAGTATTTTTGGATCTTCTTATCAATTTTGTTCGTATTTTTCAGCCAGATCACTATTCTTAACAGAATATGAAATTTGAATTGCCGCTGGCGAGCTGATACATAAATTAGTAAAAGAGAAAGGCAGTTCTAAATCTAATCTAATCCTGCGTTGATAGCTGTAAACAACTAGCGGCAGTATTGCAAAAGAAGAATAAACTTAACATAAAACTTTCAGATCCATCCCATATTCAACCATTATAATCAAAGTCGAGAAGCACAGCGTCAAACTGCTTGATAAGGTGTAAACCAAAAATGAAAACTTTAAAAGAAAAGGAAAAGTTATTTACTTCATTTTTCATGCAAAACATTTCTTGTATATATGCGCGCAGTGTGCATGCAGATTAATCGGGTGCGAAAACATCTTATGAATAAGCGTATATTTTTAATATTTTGATTATGTTTTGTGCGACGGGGCATTGCCGTGCACCAAAAATCAGTTATTCGATTAAATTTTTTCAGACCGAATGTGTTGAATTCTCTTCAGATGTCTGTCTCTATTATTTATATGTGATTTAACTATCTGTTCCTCTAGAATGTATTCCTTGGGAATAATCCCTTTCCAGTCAAAAAAAATTTTCACCAATATAGCTTTTACTCGAGAATTTTTAAGTTAGTGCTTTAGGGGTTATGTTGAATCTTCTCCAATTCAAGAAAATAATTGCCGTTTTGTTTCAGGATCATAAGAAAAGCGCAAAGTTTCATCTTCGGGTCGCAAATTAATCAAGATTAATATTTGTCATTTGGATGAAATCATGAAGAGCGTAAATTCGATCTTCGTTCTGCTCTGCGTTCAGTGCGCGAGGGGCAAACGAAAACAAATTTTTTTCGAGATCATTCACAGTTTTGTGAGTTTACAGAACTAAACTAATTCACATAGTCTCCTAATCCTTCTTCATTGGTCCTAAGGGGCTTTGTTCCTGAGGGACTATTGCTTCGTTTTACGATTTTGCGTCGAATCACTCTGAATGTCCCTTTCACTTTGCGAACTTTTGCTACCAAATATTATCTCCCTGTATTATATTTTAAGGATTTAAATAATGAAGAAGCTGCATGAATGCATGTATGTTTCTCGCATTGTGATAAAACAACGGTACCTAGAGCCATCCAATTTTGAATAACGTAATCCTACTGCCAATATGGACATCTGGAAGCCGAAATTAGAAATTTGGAATTTGTTTTGTTATCGATTTGATATTTTGTAAAACTTAACGAATTTTTGATTAACAAACTCAAGGATTTCAAAGCGACCAATGGCAACGTTGTACAGAAAAAGCATTTTTATCTCCAGCGCGTGAGACTGTGTATCGGAAATTATTTTGCGATATTGCTATTGAACTAAATTTTACGGTTTAAGTGCGAAGAACATGATACTTAATAAATGAAGGTAGCACACAAAATGTAAAAAGAAACACCCCTTTGGACGTAATTTAAAATCTGAAACCGTTCAAATTTTCTTTTTAGTATAAATGGGCTTTGTTCCTGAGTGACTTTTGTTTTTCTTTGATTTATCGATTTTTTCCCTCTTAAAGTCAAACTTAGAATATTGGCAGTCTTCATTACAGCAAACTGTCATAAAGAATGCTAATTTACTGCATCGTATTAGCAGCATTTTACAGGTAGTCGAAGCTGCGTGTCAGTTATAGTTTTTCTCAGTTTAGTGTGAATGAGTTTTATAAGACAACTTTCCCTCCTTATCGCATGCCTTTGTAATGTTATAAGGTATTTCTCCCTCCTTCTTAACGAGTGTAGTGGTCTGCACGCTCAGCGCGTAATTGAGAGGTCCGCGGTTCGATTCCCGGCGAAGCTATGTTTGAAGGCGTTGCTAATGTTTCACCTTTCCGCTTCCAAAAATACCTAATATCTCTACAGTGTAATTAGAAACACGTCCGGCCAGCAGTCCGAAGACCTGGAGTTCAATTCCAGATTAAGGGCACTGCTTATTTTTCATACATCCTGCTTCGATAAATGTGATGACTCTATAACTTTATTGATGTTAAACAGTACCGTTCGAAGACACAGTTGAGGATTTTTTAGCAACAACTATTGAACATTTCAATGTTATCATCTGTTCGAGATAGCGAAAGGCGGCCATTCATGAGTTCATCGTGTACTTCACAAAATCATATAAATCATATTGGTACCACTAAAAATTTCTGGATTGTGTTAATGCCCGATTTCCCATTTACTTTACACACACAATATTTCAGATGTCTCCGCTGCTTTTTTTCCGTTTAAAGCAAAATTTTATTTTCATTCTTTGCTTATCTTTCAAATCTATGAGAGCAGATGCTCATTATATCAAAGCTAACAATTAACTGTATAAAAAATTCTCTCCATAAACAAAGGATATTTTAAGAAAAACAAAGTAAAGATCACATAGAAGTAAACGCTGTTCATTATCACTGGTAGATTTGCAGGAATTTGTTAAAAAATAATCTTAAAACTTTGCATAATATCTTTATTTTTCCTCCTTGACTTTTATGTGTGTGTGTATCAGTAAACATGAAAAACATTAACTAACACTTACAGTAAATGTCTTACCTGAGAGATATATTTAGAGATATGAAAGATATCTCAGTAATGTCTATCAGTCGCCATTATTGAGTTATAACCTGTCAAAACTAAAGATTAAAATCCATAAATATGAATTTCAATTCTTAATTTCCTGCCGGAAAAAAAACTTGAAAATTTGTAGATCTATAAATTTAAAATTTTGAAAGTGAATAAAAAATGATTGAATTAGCTTATTAATATAAATGAATATAGGCTTGAACGTAGTCGTGATTAGAAATTTCTTCACATGCTATTAATGATTGGAGTTTAAAATGAAATATCTTGAAATTTTGCAGATGAATTATGCCTCACATACATATCATGGTCTTATATAATAATCGTTTACATGAATTTTTAACTATTATTTGATTTATTATAAATTAATAAATTCATCATTTTTATGTTTTCCTATGTATCCTGCTGAATGCCGAACAAAAAAATCAGAATCAGAAACTTCCAAATCAGAAATCAAAGTTCGTTAAAATACCGTATAATTTTAATAAATACTTTTGCTTTTGAAGGTCAGTACATCACCTTTCGCATTCGTGTTTAAGTCTGAGGATCACTGCTTATTTTTGTTTTATTCTTAATCGATGAATATCCTGACGTGCCTAACATACGTTATTCATAAGACTATAGTCTTATGAATAACGTATGTTATATAATACCTTTATATGCCTATTTTTAATAGGCATTGGGCAGGTATTATATATAAACGCAGCAGGTTTAGTACCGAGGTTTGTAAAGAGAGTTTTATCGCTCTACTTAAAAATAATGTAAATTACAAAAAAGGTGTGCAAGAAATTAAAACAAAACACACACACATTTTCAATGAATCACTTAGAATCAAATGTATTCTTTTTAAAAGCGTAGAAATTCATTTTTAAAATTTTTAGGATAAGATTTGTATGCGACTATGAGTAGTATTTAGAGATAAATCTTTCGAATGCGTTGTTTAACCAAGCTTTTGCGGCATGTTGGGCATTGCTTTGTCCGTTTCAGTATGCTGTCCATACACTCGTTACAAAATAGATGACCGCATGGTGTGGTTACCATATTTATACCATTTCGCACTATGTTTTCTACAAAGTTCAGACATACGGGGCACTTTAGACCACTGTTAATTGGTTCTCCTGTTCCATGTGAAATAGCTAGAAAGAAAATAAATATCAAAATATGTTCATAAATTAAAAATGCAATTAAATTTAAAAAGGATGTTACAATGTCTTGGTGAATTTGAAATGTCTCCGCAGGGAAATTTAGACAGATTTTAGAAGACATTTGAAAGCACTGTAATATACAAACCCAAACTGTTAAGTAATGTATATTTGATGCTCAGAATTGAATTTAATTTGCGTTACCTTTTTTTAACTAAATCTCTAATCATAACACAGAAATGAAATATTTAAAGTTTAAAAAATGGTTTTGGATGAAATTAAATTTAAAACACTTCATTTTCAATATTGCTTTAAAGGAAAATCTGGTCATTCCATTACACAATTTGAAATTTTTTTAATAGTATACTTGTAAGTATTCATTTCTTATCAAAGATAAATGTTTCAATTTTCAGCGCAAAATATGTCCATTTCTTATAAATATCTATCTAGGTACCCGCAAGTGCAATACATTGTTGCTTAGTAAAACTAAAATTTAATTTAAAAAATTTAAAATCAGTACTGGCAATATATTAGTTGATTCTGAAACAAAAATTCAAGAAAACCTGATGTGCAATAATTCCTGTAAGAGATATAAAAAACATTTCAGACTAATTGTTTAATTCTTCACTGAAACTAAAAACGAAATGCCCCCATTTTAATACTGGTTGTCAACTTTCTATGATACAAAATCCGTTTAAGATTTTAAAAGGAAAAATATATATTTTGCGCTCCGAGCTGATAGATTTCCTGATGAACTCAAAATACATGTACTCGCATTATATTTTAATTGTTGATGTTAAATTGTTTTAGGTACCAAGGAAACGTTTATTATTCAAAACCTAAATTACTAAAAGCCTAAATTATTAAATTATTAAAATATAATGAAATATTGCAAAAATTAGCGAAATGTAAATAGCATTTAATTAATTGCTAAAGATCAATGTACAAAGTCTTTATATATTAACAAAGGAAAAATTTACAGTCCATGTTCAGACGTTGAGAAAATTCTCTGCGCGATACTTCATTTTATACTTCATTTTAGAATCCTTGCATTTGCATCATTACAACGAAATAAACTTACTTTCTGGCAGTAAATTTCTTGCTTCACGCATAATTTCAAATCACTTTTTAAAATAATCTGACAAGTAGGATATAACTGTTATGATTAGTTTCTCCTAAATATATTTCAGTATTATAATGTTGCAACTCCTCTTAAGTATATGTTTATATTCAGTTATTGCGTTCCCTATGCTATACAAGGCTTTTCAACATTAATTTACATAAAAATCTAAAAACAATTCCAGTACATTTAATGAAACGACATTGGAATTATCCTTTTCCAGTCAAACCTAATTTCATCATTACGACCACTTTACACGAGAATTTTGAAATCATTGCTTTAGTGGCCCCAATAGACCTTCTTCAGTCCAAGCAGATAACTGCCTTTTGTCTCAGGACCATAAAAGGAACGCCAAATTTCATTTTCGGTCGCAAATTATTTGAAAAAAATGAGATCAATGTCTGTCATTTGGCTGACTCATGACATGCGCAAATTCAATCTTCGTTTCGCTATGCGTACAATAAAACGTTCAAGATACCTTAGAAATAGTAGTTGTCACCTGAAACCCTTTCTGTAGTTTGTTTTTCATCTGGGATGTCAATTTTAGTTATTATGAGTCTCAAAAATTTCAATCTATCGCTCTTGCTGCTCTAAAGGCCGCGTTAGTAGGCCAGTGTTATCTTTCTCATGGCATTTGCATTAATTATTTTAATAGTATAGAATCTCTATTTTATTTTAGGCTTTTGCTCAGTTTGTTTGCTTTAAATATCTATATCCAATGTTGAAAGAAAATTTTCTTAATTAGATAGTGTATTATGCAACCCAATATTTTTAGTCCAAAGGGGCTTTGTCCCTGAGAAAGTATTGTTTTCGTTTTGCGATTTTGCATCGAATCACTCTGAATGGTCCGTTTCACGCTTCATACGATTGCCACCAAATATTATCGCCCTGCATTATATTTGAAGAAATTAAATAATGAAGAATCTGCATAAATGTATGTATGTTTCTCGCATTATGATTAAACAACGGTACCTACAAACATCATATTTTGAACGACGTAATCCTACTGTGAATATGGGCTTCTGGAAGCCCAAATTTGGAATTTGTTTTATTATCAATTTCATATTTTGTAAAACTTTAACGAATTTTTGATTAACAAACTCAAGGATTTCAAAGCGAGCAATGGCAAAAAAAAAAAACGCTCCTTCGGATGTAATTTAAAATCTGAACTTTTTTTTTTTTTTTTTTTCTGTTGTCGTTGTGACTTATCTCACTTGTCTGACAATTGCATCAGAACTAGCCCACGAAATTCATCGTGGCAAGGAGTGTAAGATTGCATCTGTGTAAGATTGATTTTGCTTTAAGGCTTTATTTCATTTGCACACGATGTTTTAAACGTGCAATGATATTTTTAGATAATTAGCTTTGGCATGTAGTCTCCTTGTATCGCTGGATCCATTTCGCGTCCATTATTATTTTTTAAACCCTTTACTGAGTTCAAAGTTCGGTGCTCAGATGAATAATAAAAATGATGTGTAGATATGGCTTCTGTTCCTTTCTTAAAGAGCAATAATTCTGTTCGGGCTTTAAATGATTTGGCTAAACGGTAATTTCCTCACCCGTTACCAATATTACCTATACTTTTATTTATTTTGAGAAAGTTGGATCTACCGCATTGTAATTCACATTATTAGTATACGACAGGAAATCTTTTATTAGCGATCATAAGTAGACTGTGATCACGATAGGGATCCTTCAGTCTGTTGAAATAATTCTTAAAAACCTAAATAATCTAAGCCGACAAATAAACAGAGAACAATTTAGAATTCGTGATTACAGATATTGTCTCTAAGTAGGTATATCAACATTACGATTAGTATTGTTCCTTCGAGATCTATGTTATTAACAAGTTCGTTCCTAAATTGACTCATTTAAGAAATAAAATTACAATCTTAGATAGCAAGAGTAAAAACCTCTTATCTCTTCCTCAAAACAATTTTAGATGTAATTCAGCTCAGTATATTTCTTCATCTTAATTCTACACAGAAGCAGACAGGTATAGAAATAAGTTCACTGTTCATTGCTGTTTTGGATATAAGCAAAATTGGAATGTAAAATCTACGAATATATGACTGATAAAACGACTGCATGACTAATAAAACGAGGTATAAATACTATGCAAATTTCCTCTTGCTTGTTCACATATATGTTTTTTTCGATGATATTTCATAGATTAAATTATCTTCACAGAAGAAATGATCATAGATTAAATGATCTTGGAATAATAGGAAAAGTGCTAATAAAACAAAGCTACTTCTATGGAACTTATCTATCTATATTTTGAATATCTCTCCATTCAATAAAGAACACTGCGAAGAGGTAATTTTAAATCCTATCCCAGATAATTGACCAGACATCCGCTCAGCATATGCAACCAATAAGGTTGAGAGCATAAACTTGTTTGACCGGGCTCGACTAGAAATTTGAACACCCTCGTCAACGGTACCCACTAGCCCGTTGTCAACATATAAACTAATAAAATTAAGGAAGGAAAACGAATACAGCATATGCAGATGGAAAGATAACTTGAAGTAATTTTCTCTTGTTCTCTTTCTCTTTACAAATGTAGGTAGGACGTACTATAGTCATTACTTGCCATTAAATATTTGCTAATCAATGTCAATTAATTTAATATTTTCTAATTAATGGCAAGTAAATATTATAGCATTTTCTATAGCACGTATAGGCAATATTGGCACAGGATTTAAAATTGTCCCCTCGCAGTATTCTTCATTGAACGGGGAGGGGGTTCGAAATATAGAAAGAGAGATAAGTTCCATAGAAGTAGCTTTGTTTTATTCCCACTTCTCTTGTTACTCCAGTATCGTTTAATACTTCTATGGAAAGAAAATGTGGCAGATTCAATGATTGCTCCAGTTTTCCTATTGCACAAAACTATCTCGGTTTCGGTTATTACTTTAAATTTAAAGGCAAATTACTAAGGTACAAAAAGCATTTCTTCGCATGTTTTTCCCAAATGGAAAATAAAATCATTGTAAAAGCAATTATAAAAAAATCTGATGTGTACACCACATGGAATATTAAATAAACGCATTTTTATTGCATTTCGTTTAAACGTATTTCTTCGAATTTCATTTAAACGTATTTCTTCGAATTTCATTAATATGTTTCTCATTCAATTAATTCAGTTCTCACTTTGCGGCAAGGAAAAAATACATAAAACCTCAAGCTACCTTCATTAAAAATTTAAAAATATAGAAACATATAAAACACCAAATACAGTTAAAACAATTGAAAAACATCAGATTTTACAATTCTAGATTAGAGTTTCTAAGCACAAACAAGCAATTCGGCCAGCGGGCAAGAAGGCAGATTTTTCAGTGCACAATACTGGATATTTACTTTTGGTCTCACTCGACAAAAAGACATTGAAGGTGTAAAAACGGACTTAAATCGCTATTCTGCTAAGTTTCAAATGTAAACAAATATGGCTGCTTTGGTAAAATATCTGATGTGTTCACCACATGACCTCCCTGTACGGAATATTAAATTACATGCATATTTTCCTGCGTTTCATTTAAACTTATTGAAATGAATTAAATCTACTTTCGTCGATAGCCTCTAAACCACAATATAATAAATGCACTCTTTAACACTATGATAAACACTTTTTACACTATGATAAACAAAAATCACTATATTTGTTTATCATAGTGACAATCTGGCGCTAGGTGTACTCAACAGCGTTAGATGTCCTTTATTTTATAACTCATAATGCACAAAATTTATATCATCTGAAGTATTATCTAATCGTTGCCGCATGTTCTATTCAAATACTTTAATTAATCTAAAACGATGTATAAAAGAAATTAAACATAAGAAAAGAAAGAATTATTCAATTAATTCAGTTCTCACTTCGCGACAAGGCAAAAATACATAAAAATTCAGAATATGTATATTAAAAATTACGAAGTAAATCTTAAGCGCTTATTTCCTAGAATAAATTCCAGAATGGATTAAGCATGATTTAATTCTCAATAATAAATGAAGGCGTTACCTTTGATGTTGCGAAGCTTAGTATCTCTAGATTGGCAACAAATCCACTATTCTCCTAAGTTTCAAATGTAAACAAACATGGCCGCCATAGTAATCAAAACGTAGGCTTAGCTGCACTTAAAAAACTTTTATATTGTTGATAACTCCACAATTATTACATGCAGGTTAACTAAAGGCATAAAACTCTTAACCAGAACAACATAATTCAATATTTTTAAAGCAAAAAATGCATAATTTATAAACATATAAGAATAAAGAAACTGAGCTCACTGAGCCGAGTAACAGAGTGAACATATATACATATATTTATATACTTAGTGTTGCAACCGATTGCAATCAAAATACGAGTTGCACATCTGCATGTAATAGCAGTCCTACATACATAATTTCAACGTTTTTTGAGGCTACTCGTTTTTGAGTTATACGAGATACGTATGTACGCACAGACGCCACGAATAATTCTCTTCGGAATTCATTTACTTTTTTTGGAAGGGGGGAAAGAGTGCTTTATTCTGCCCTTTTGTGCTGATATCACGCAAAAACATCGTTAAATTGCATTCGATAGCCATCAAAATGGATATTTTCGTTGAAATTTGATACCCGATATTTTTCGCGATTACAATATTTCCTTTTTACTTCGTACAAGGAAGTAAAAACAATTCTTTAATTCTGCTAGTTTTCGTGTTTTTTTCTTTTACTGTTTTCACATATCTATTAATTTCTTTGGTTCGGTCAATTTAAAGATATGTTGGGTTGCATCCAAAATCAGTGAAAACATTTGGGCATTTTGAATTTCCGAGTGATGTTATCTTTAACCTAGATGCTAAAACGTTGATAAGCTTATTTTAGATCTTAAGTATTTTACAACATTATTTACTTATTTATTAGCAGCAGGGTTCAAATAATCGGATTAGTTATGAATGCATTCGCGGGTGTCATTCTATACCTAATTATAAATAAACTTTATTTCTAATTAGAAAAAATTTTCAGTTTGAAAAGTTAAAATATAAATATCGTTACGTAATTTTTCAAGTTTATAAAATACAATCTGCTATATAAAAGAATCTATATCTTTATTTACCTTAACGCAGAGGCCGCCTGAGCTCGGAGTCCGGGATGGGAAAGGTACTGACCCATTTTGCTCAGTGGTAGTTAGTCCTGCTTAAAGTGGGCTATTTAAATTCGATTTCGTAGGAATATATTGCAATAATTTGTTTAAATGACTCTTTCCTGTCCGAGATTTTAGAAGTGCAAAATTTGCTCTTAATTTTCCAATTATAAACTAAAATATTTATAAATAAATAATTCGAAATTTGAAATTAGTTGATATGAGTGTTCTAACTTGTTACCGCTCTCAAACTTTGGATAACTACAAATTTACTACAAAAAACTGCAAATTAGTTAAGTAAAATGATTTTTCCCTATTTTATCTGTCACAACTGTGTGTTACATACCGTTTTCACATATGCCTTCAGTCTGCTCATCAGGAATGTCTAATGTCAGTGGAGATTTCTTTTTACGATTCTTCATCGTTCTGCTATTTTTTCTAACACGTCTGTCGGTTATATTTAAGGAGACGTGTGGGCTATTAGATGTAGAATTTTTCCCTTGCATTACGATGGAAAATCTCGTTTTGTTTTGACCCTCCTGCTCAAAGATAGTAACTGAAGAGTTTGAAGATATAAAAATATCACTGGTATCCTCAAAAGACATGTAACTGGATTCTGATGACATGGTACAGCTACTGTCAGAACTTTCACAGGAAGACGATAATGAAGACAAGCTCGAGTCCGAAAAGTAGTCCTAGAAAAAAACGGTACTCATAAAATATGATTTATTTGGCATAAATAAATTAAGAGCATCTTGGAAAATTCATTTTCTGTATCAGTCGACATGTACGAGTCTTACCAATTTCTCGTAGAATAGTTGAAATCAGTTTCAAATTTCTTCTTCGATCAATCTTGAATATGGGAGTTCATTTTAGGAGTATTTGGACATTTAAATCATTGGAAGTTTCTGCTTGAACTTTTAATTTTTTCAAATAATTACAAAAGTAGGCAGATCGTTTTGCAAATTTCATAAGTAGTCTGTAAGACATTTCTGCTGTGAACTAAAGAACGAGATCTTAACTATTAAATATTCTTCAAAAATAACATCAGAGAATCATAGCACTAATGGCTCTCCTCGTATGTCTTTAACTTCTCAAAATATTTTATTTTTATAAGGAAAATAATTTTAGGAATTATAAAATGGGGAAGCTACAATATGAATTGGGAAAAAAAGAGCTATTTGTATTCACAGGGTCCATTGCAATGGATGCTGTAAATGCAAATAAGCCAGCATACGATTTCACACATTGAAATTCACTCACGTTCATCTCAATAAATAGACGTAAAGAAATCTTATTACTATTTTTCCCTCTGATTCAATTGTAAAAGAGCTCAAGCAATTTTTGTTTCAAGAGGAAAAATTATAAATGCATAAAAGGTATGGGGCAAAACCACTCTTTTATGCCATCAGATCAGAACCATTTGATCAATGAACTGAATCGTTCTTTTTGACAACTCACGGCTCACTAGTAATAACCTTGACGAATAAGATTGGAAGTGCTGAGTGAATCATAAGCATTTTACGAAAATAGACTGAAGAGCGAAAACAATCGAACGAGCAACAGAATCGGAGAATCGACTCCATCCAACCGCTAACTTCTTGGATTGATTTCTTTCAGCTGTTGTTTGAGATTCCCTAAACCCTTCCTTCTGCAAATAAAACTAACATTGAAATTCTGGAAGAATCAACAATAAAATTCTGGAAGAGAAGACGTTCAAAATGTTGGGAAATAATAAAAATTAATGTCACCGAGGAGTATTTATTTACTTTACACAGAGGAACGTTCAGGAGAAACAGTTCAGTTCAAGGAGAAACATTCTCTCTGCTCAAGACAGAAATCGAAACTTTGCTAGCCCACTTCCAACAACATCTTTCGGCCTGTGAACTCTAAACAGCTGCCGCTCCGTCTAGTGGAATCACCGTACGCTGGCTCAGTAAAAGTTAATCTGTTATTTGAATAAAGTCGCGGAAGTGCGAAATGCTGATCTCTAGTTCATATAGTTCGTAAAAGCAATTACCTATTTTGGAGCAAGAAATATGAAAAATCAACTCAGCCTTCATCGGGATTTAAATCGCAGATCTTCCGCCTGCTAGTTGGATATGCTATGCTATCACTTATATCACGAGAGCTCGCATGGAGGAATGCCATTATTCTATTAAGATTCACATTGAAAAAAAAAATCTGATGTGTACACATGAGTTCTTTGTACTGAATATTAAATTATGCGTAATTTTCCTGCATTTCATTTAAACTTATTGAATCAACAGTTAACGAATTTTGAATTAAATCTATTTCGTGGATAGCGCATAAACCATAATAAACTAAATGCACTCTTTAAAGTTCACTGTATTTATTTACCATAGCGACACTTCGGCGCTAGGTTCACTTAACAGCATTACATCTCATTCATTTTATAACTCAGAGTGCACAAAACTTATATCATCTGAAGAATTATCACAAGTTCTGTTCAAATAGAAATTAAACAAATAAAAAGGAAACAGTTTTTTGCAGACGATTCAGCGCCGCTTACCTAATGCGCATGCGCTACTAATTAATCCAGTTCTCACTTCGCGGAAAGACAAAAATACATAAAAATTCAAAACATTTTCATTAAAATTTGAAAGATATAGAAAAACATAAAACACCAAGTACATTTAAAATAGTTAAAGAAATCTGAAAGTTTTCAGATTTTAAATTGTGTCTAAAAAGGCATTTTTTTAATCCTGTCAGTTTTTTTCTGTAGTTGGAAGTTCAGTTATTTTTAATGTACACTGTTTGAACATGCTTTATCCTTTACCATTTAAAGTGCCTTGTGATCAAAGTGATCAAAGTGTGAAAGATTTTGTAAAATGTATGAATTACTTTAATGGAAAAATGTGATCGAAAGGGGTTTATAGAATTTTAAACTTCTACGTAGTCTCTTAAGCTCGCAACCCGTGTTTTGGTTGTATCAGACATTTAAGTAGGAAAGACTTTATACTTTTACCTATCCATATCGCATTAATTTAAAACAGAAAGAAATCTTATTGCCTAAAGGTTCAAGTTATACAATACCATATACTACATATGACCGAAAATATAAAATTTGGATTCTTTTTACCCTAATTTACTTTCTTGCTAAATTCATTTCTTTTACTAACAATGTAAGACACCTTTTTAATTAGAATAACCTCATCTACCTCTCTATTAATCCCAATTTTTTCATGAATCCAAATTAAAGGAACATAATTTCAATATTAGTGTTTAAATATTCCTATAAATTAGTATTATATAAATATATTTACTAAATCGTTATTTTATTTTAGTTTTTTTAATTCTTTTATCGCGTTTTAGATTTCGAAATTATATGTATGTAAACAAGAGTTTGTTCTTAAGCGAAGTGCTAATGGTGTTATACCTTATTGAAATTTTCAAAGCTTGGTAGTAATTTTAGTAATTTTAGTTTTTAGTAGTTTTTTACCTTTGATAGTATTCGTCCAAATTTGGAAAATGTTCAGAATTTCCTAAGATTTTGGATGTACCTCCGATCTATTCTAGACAGTAGAGAGCTTCATAAGTCATGAAAGGGCTCAACCCTCGCTCTGATCAAACCAATATATATATATATATATATATATTCCTTTAATTCTCATAATATAAAAGTATAATACTGAAATTAATAGTAGTTGGAATTTTCGTACTTTTTAATCCGAAGGGTTTTGTCCCTGAGGGACTATTGTTTTCGTTTCGCGATTTTGCGTCGAATCACACTGAATGTCCATTTCACATTTCAAACTGTTGCCACCAAAAATTGTCGTCCTGTATTATATTTAAAGAAATTAAATAATGAAGAATATGCATAAATTCATGCATGTTTCCCGCACTGTGATAAAACAACTGTATCTAGAACCATCAAATTTTGAATGACGTGATCCTATTGCGAATATAAGCATCTGAAGTCCAAGTCAAATTTGAAACTGCAAGTCCAAATTTGAAATTTGGGATTTCATTTTCGATTTGATATTTTGTAAAACTTAACGAATATTTGATTAACAAACTCAAGGATTTCAAAGCGAGCAATGGTAATGTTGTACGAAAAAAAACATTTTTAATCTCCAGTGTGTGAAACTGTGTATCGGAAATTCTAAAGATATGCTCAATTTAAAATTATTTTGCGATATTTCTCTTGGACTGATTTTTTTTAATTTGTATTTTTAAACATTTTTTTTTTATTTTTACAAATGTTACTCTTCACATGAATGAATGACTTTAAAATATGACTTCATATCTAAGATTGTTATACTGATCTATTATAATAGCAGTTCGTTTATAAAAGTGATTCACTGCATTTCTACGTTATCAATTTTGATGCTATTCCTTCACGAGCATTCAATAGAACACGGCGGAATAAGTACTCCGAATGCATTCCTCCAATAATAACTGTTTAGAAGAAACATTAGCAAGTTATGCGTATTCGTTAAATATTTAAATTAAATGTTTCTCAAACCCATTAGTATTTTGAGATACTCTTCTGTTATCGGGACCGGTGTTTGTATGCATGTATGTATGAATGTATGTGTTCATGCATGCATGTATATAATTGCATATATGCATATATTATGTGTGTACACACACGTATATACGCATATGCATACATACATACATTTCTGAATCCGGTCCCGATAACAGAAGAGTATCTATTTTGCTTTGAAGGGACTAGATTGAAGGCTTTTATGACAAAAGAAGGCAAGGTTACTCGTGAAAGTAAATCTGTATTTTTAAGATTGAAACAAATTAGCAATGCTTTAATGCAAAAAACAAAGTAACTCTTCGTTCTAGTCATATGCATAATTCATTTGAATTAATGATGTACAGCTTTATAAAATATAAAATGTTTGATTGATTTTGATGTATCTTAATGTAAAAATTAAATTTCCGATAATTAGGTCAAAACTTTGCTTCTGTACTGCACATCTGTGCTACTAATTAATTTTTAATCTTTAGTTTAATTAAAGTTATATTATACTACTTTATTATCCTATATTACTCAAAGCAATCTATGATTTTGCATAAAAATTCTTAAAAAAATCGCTTACCATTATTATGCAATTATTGTGATCCAGACTTTTCTTAAAATAAGTAAAATAAATTTAAGGTTCATGAAACTGTTGTTAAATTTCGAGTTTAAACGGAGAAAGAATATTTCTTGCACACGATAATACGTCACGTTTCATATACAGCAAGTTGAGATGTTAAATGGTTTATTTAGTATTTTTTTAATTCTAAAAGACTAAGAATTCGTTTAAATCCTAATTAACAGTTAAAATAAAATCAAAATTTTGTTGCCATTCATTAAATGATAAAAACTTTATACTAAACATATGTTCTAACGATAAGATAATTCTAATGATATTTCACTTTAAAACAAAAATGCAAACTATTTAAATTTACAGTATGAAATATACTAAACATATTATAATCTCTTATCAATAATTTTAAATTTTTAAACATTATGTATATATTATATTATAATCTCAGTTACAGATCATAATATTTAATTTTTTAATATCCTAAATATATTATATTATGCTTTCTATGACAAATTACCAAACGATTATGTCCCGAATTTAAAAACAATTTTTATTTGTCACAAATATATAATCATTATTCATGTATTCTTAGATGTAGTCTTCATGATTGTATAAATTAAATGTATTTCCATTATATCAGTCAGACATTTTATTTTTAAAAAATAAAAATATAAATAATTTCTAAGTACGTGTACGGCTTTGAAATCATCAATTTATTGAATTAAAAGGTATTCATCCAGAAACTAAAAAATATTATTTATACTCAGAAATTAAAATATTCATTTGATTGATTTTATAGTGATCTTTAGTGTGTTTGTGTTGCAGTGGAATAGAACTGAACCCGCAATATTTCGTGATATTTCAAACCGGATAGCTGTGTTCTGTTTTCTGCAGCAAAAACGATGGCTCATGATTTTCTGTTCTAACATCCCGTTTGTTGTTTTCAGCCATCCGGGTGTTGCTGAGAGGAAAAGCTCACGCAGAATGGAAAGTGGTTGTCAGTGGTGACAGAAGGACGGTCAAAGATGATCACGTTTTCATTGACGACAGAGCTGTTATATGGGGGAAAGGTAAGTAACATATTCTCTTAATTTTAACCGTACGTACAGACGTCATCCAAAAAATTCGTCCAGATAGATTCGGAAACGGCAAAACGGATATTTTTGTTGAAATATAGTACCCAATAGTTTTCTCGATTACCATATATTCTTTACTTCGTGCAAGGAATGAAAAGGGTTTTGCATCTAATGGTGCATCAAAGAGACTTTCGAAAACAACATTTACAAGAAAAATATAACAAAATCAAATAGTTGAGGATATATTATTAGGCATCTCTGGCTTCAACGCCTTATGCCTTTAGCATTAATGGAGCGTATACAGCGCCCTCTCTAGCCTTATCCTGCAGAAATAATATAACAAAGGGGGAAATTTATAGCAATTTCCTGCGGGATCCGAAAACACTGCGTAGATAAACAACTAATTTTTTTCTTAGATATCTATTTTAAATAGTTATTAAATCAAAAAGTGCAAATGCTGTTTCGATTGAGTAAAATATCAAAATGTTGAATACTTTTTATTTATTTTATTTTTAGTACTTTTACGTATTTCCTCTTTATTTATTTTTAATATTTCAAGGAATTTGATTAGAGAAATATTGTAGAATATTATTCTATGATTCTTATATATATATGGTTTTATTCTTCCTTCTTTATTAATGAACTGGCTGTTTATTACTCGAAGTCTAGATGTGGGAATACTTTTTTTCACGGTTTTATTTCATTTCTATTCTCTGGTTGTTTGAGTCAAATTTTGAAATTAGATTAAACTCTTTCTACAGACCCAATTTTCTTGAAATTTTGTCCACCTATGTGTTTGCGATGGCAGTACAATAGCCCTTAGGAATACTTTATTCTTGATTTTAATTTCGCGAATGAAATTTTTTCGGAATTTTGAATATGATTTGACAATTTTTTTGGGGGGAAGGGGAATGGGTTTCCAATATCTTCCGATTTTAACCTATCTTCCGTTGATATCAATCGTAGATTTTAAAATTAAAAAAATTCACCATTCATTATCGCGGCGCATGGATTTAAACGAGGACGAGATCAAAATTTTAAATCAGACAGAAATGTAACTGAATTGGATGTAAATTTATGCCATCCATTACATGAGAAAAACCTTGAAAAAAGATGTCGTCGTGTGTTCTTGGCTGGTAGGCTGATCAGGAGAAGGTAATTAATTGTCCCATCTTGAAGAAATTGTGGTGAATGGATAAAACTTGTAGGCGTCATAAAGGAATTGCAAACGTACAAAATACCGAATTTCATGCTAACTGTTATAATTTGTCGATTTGAAAGGTGTTTATATACGATATATAAATGGTATAAATGGTAAAATATATTATTAATACATATTTAGATGGATAATAAATTATTAATATAGTATTATGAAATAATATATATTAATTAATTAATATATAAATATTATTATTTTTTAACCCAAAGGAGCAATTTGCTCAAAAGGGTTATTAATTTCGTTTTGGCATTTTGCGTTGATTCACTATAAACCGCGAATCATTTTTTAAATTCTTGCCACCAAATATTAGAGCTCTGTATTATATTTAAAGGAATTAAATAATGAAGAATCTGCATAAATGGTATGTTTCTCGCATTGTGATAAAACAACGGTACCTAGAGCCATCAAATTTTGGATAACGTACGTCTCCACCCGAATATGGGCCTTTAGAAGCCCGAATTTGGAATTTGTTTTATTATCTATTTCAATTTTTCATTATCTATATCATTCATTTTATTTAATATCTATATTAAGCCCAAATTTGGAATTTGTTTTATTATCTATTTAATATTTTGTAAAGCATTTATGAGTTTTTGCTTAAGAAACTCAACGATTTCAAAGCGAGAAATGGCAACACTGTACGAGGAAAAAAAATATTTATTTTCAGCGCGCGTGATTGTGTATCAGGAACTCTAAAGATATGCTCATTTTAAAATTATTTTGCGATATTACTATTGAACTGAATTTTATGGTTTAAGTGCGAAGAGCATGCTATTTAAATAAATAAAGGTAACACACAAAACGTTAAAAAACGGCCCTTTGCGCGTAATGTAAAATTTCATTCAGATTTTTATTTTTTTTAAATTTAATCTGTCTGTTATTTATTACAAGTACAACTATTTGAAAGTAATAGACGCAATTCTTAAAAGAGTATTATTATTTGGGGGGTGGGGTTAAGCGGATTGATTTAAATAAAAATGCATTGAATTAATGATGTATCTAATTAAAAACATTAAGTATTTTTTATAGAAAAACATAATATATTTTTTCTTTTTCTTTTTTTCTTTTTCTGAGACTTTTCATAATACACTTGCATTTTTCTCCCTTTGTATTGATAATTCTTACTGATAAACCGTATTAAACTTTAAAGACAAATGTTTAAATCTGAAACCTTTTAGACTCTTTTAATCTTTTACTTGTGTTACAATATTTCCATTAAATCATCAACATTAAACTAAAAAACTAATAAATGATTGCAAAAATATATAACAGCTTATTATACGCTCTCTTTCTTTAGTTTTCATTGCGGCTTAAATACAAAACAACTGAGAAACACCTGCACTTTTGCATTTTTTGCATTATTAGCTGGTTTTGGAAAGTCCTGAACACTGGTAGTTCGGTCGAGGTTCGAATCCGCGAACGGGCTTGCATGGGCGTTTTCGTGTTTTCCCCATTAGTTTCCTTAGAAAGCTCCCGAAAGGTCCCAGATAGCCCTCGTGTGCTTTGCATAATAAAATTAAAATTAAATTTACCTATAAACATAAAATAAACGATCGATTAAGCCGCATAGGAACTGGCCCAGATAAATAAGCATTTGAAAAGACAAAATGGTAGATACAGTTTAGAGATTTGCCTCAGGTTTTAAAAATCTTTCGGTGTGACTCAAATTATAAAAATATGTATATATTTTATAAATAACTTTATGTTATAAGCAAATTATTAAAATTGTTCTTATAGTTTGGTAAATAAGTATATTTAGAAAAGAATTTGTAAGCCTTATAAATGAAGCTTCAACTCAAAGAACAATATTTAAAGACAGTCTTAAAATATTTTTATTAAAAGTGATTTTTCACAATTAGTTTTGCTTCTCCTTTTAATATCCATGTTGTCATCTTATCTGGTGCAGTATTTTTTAACATCTTTCATCTGAAACTTTCGATAGTAATTCCTTTCATTTCTTTTGTAAACAGAATACAGAAATTGAAATTGAAAAATAAAAAGATAAAGGGGGGAAAGACTCAGTAAACAATTTTATACTTCAAGTATTAAAATTTTATCTTTAACAAGTTGTCAGAATTTTTTCTTTTTTTTTTTTTTTTTTTTTTTTTTTTTTTTTTTTTTTTGTGAGAGACAGAGATGGTAATAACACTAATAAAAAAGGAGCCAAATCTCTGAAAAATGGACTACAGGCAGCTAAACAACTCAACTCAGAGTTCGTAAACGATTTTCGATAGTTGGGCCGCCAAGTTCTTAGAACGTTGTCACAAGCAATCTTTTCTAACTGTATATATATATGAAAGAAACGAGACAATTTCTAAACAAAAACGGAACCCGATATATTTTGACAGTTTCTGCGAACAGTTAGGAAAATATAAAATCCTAAAACGAATATTTCTCAGCTAAAATTTCTACTCGTGGGCTTTTGTAGGCGAAACAAATTGTTGCTCTTTGTCTGGATTTAGTTTTTATCTCTATCTAGTTTTTCAGGAGAAAATTTCGCTATCCTGTTATTTTCTAGGAAAAAAAGAATACATTTTCCAATTCATATGTTTCTTCGTTTTTTTACAAAGTCATACTTTTGTTATATTCTGCGAAAACAATATTATCTTTTAACACTTTCACGAAGCGAATGATTTTTCAATCCCTAATGTTAACTCTTTCATTAAAAATACAGTCGTATAAAGGTATCACACTTTTGATTAATACTACTTTGACATGACTGGGCATTTTTCATTGAATGAAGTATTTACTTTCAGCTTATAATGGATTGCTTTACTTTCGAGTATCGTAAAATTGATTTTAATTAGATTGCTTTGGATTAATAGTACTTCTATATATGATGTTTTGGATTAATCATACATAGGATAATTTCGTGTTGACAATTTCCAATAGCCAAATGGAGAGATGTTTTATCGGAACTTCAATTCATGGCTTGTAGAAACATTAGGTTATTTCGAAGCAGAAGAGATGAAACATGAGCAATGCCTTCGCCAGGGCTCGAACCTCGGATCTCTCGAATACGCGCCGAGTGTGCTGACCATTATACCTCGAAGGCATGCTAAGAAGGCGGGAGAAATGCCTTATATATCCCCCATATAGAGGGCGACTGGGGATCAGGGGATCAATCGCCAAATCCTTGTAGTGGAGAATCATCATGCACCACCTTTTTTTAGTTCAGGCACCACTGTAGAGACAGACGATTTTTTGGAAGCTGTAGTTATTTAGTATAAGCAGTGTCCTCACCGGGACTCGGAACCACGGGCCTCTCGAATACGCGTCGAGTGTGCTGACTATTACACCCCGAAGGCATGCTATACTCCCTCTTTTAAAGGGCGACTGGGGATAAGGATATCCAATCACCAAATCCTAGCGGTGGAGAGTTATCATCCATCACCTTTCTCAGTTCGGGCGGCACTGTAGAGACATTAGTTTTTTTATGCTTGAGAAGTGAAAAATAAGCAATCCCCTGACCAGGTCTCGAACCTCTCGAATATGCCCGAGTATACTGACCACTACACTCCGAAGGAATGCTAAGAAGGCGTGAGAAATACCTTATAAGCGTTTAAAACGATAAATAGTAAAAATAAAAAAATAATAAATCTTAAATATGTTAATTTTTATTTTGTGTTGATCAAAGGATTAAAACCGAAAATCAAATTATTAATATGTTTCTTTCCCCCCCCCTTGCTTATCCTTGCTTTTTTACTTCTTTCTACGAAGTAAAGGAAGCATTGTAATCAAGAAAAAATCCGGGTACGATATTTCAACGAAAATA